TGTGCAATTGAGAGATCGATTAATTGCAGGAATTAACATACCGAGTTTGGAAAGAGAGCTGTTAAGAATGCCAAACTGTTCCTTTCAAGATGCTAGAACTGCATGTATTAACTACGAAGCAGTCAATGAACTTGATATCCAGTCGATGAATATTTCTAATACTTTGCTTAGTCGTCGTGATGAACTACAATCTCGGGGTCAATCAAACTTGCGTTCATTTAACAGTGATTCCTATTCTCGTGTAAATATGAAAGGTGTTTCAACGAGGAATTACAAAGCAAATCACAAAGGTGAGATGAAGTTTGGTAAATGTTTATCATGTGGAAAGTTTCATGCTCGCAATCCATGTGTATTTCGTAATGCTGAATGTTTTAAATGTGGTAAGGTAGGACACATTCAGTCAGTATGCAATGTTACTGTCCATTTTGCTTCAAGCTGTACTAAATCTTGTGATTTAAATTTAAATAATTCGGATGTTTCTAATGATCATTTATCTTTATCAACGATTTCAAAAGACAGTGCAGAGTCATATGGCAGTTCAGAGTTAAATGAAATCCAGAATTCTTGTGAGACAACAGTTCCTAATAAACCGATTTATCAGAATTCTCATGCTATTGTACCAAGTAGGACTTTTCCTGATGATTCACATATTTATAATGAAATTACTTGCAATTCTGAGGAAAATATGTTAAATGAACCTAATCATGATCGAAAACCTGATGTGGTTTGGGTAGATGCTGATTTTTCTAACGATCCTACGCTCTGCAATGACAGTCCTGATGAATTTCATGAGAATATTTCAGAAGAATCAAATCCTGATGTCATATCATATATTACCTATCCTCATAATGTATTTGATCCTTGTGAAAAACCTGCCCAATGCGAAGCACGAGTACTAAGTGACCTCGAGTTTTATTACATTTCGAATGATTTCATATCAACTGCTGTTTACTCTTATCACAAAAACAGTTCTAATGTTTACTCTAAACAATGTGAGAAATATGTTTTAAATGAAGCCACATTATTCATAACTTGGGGATATAAAGATCCAACATTATTTCGTGGGGGAGGATAGGGCTGCATTTAAACGCAACTCAATTTCGTAAATGTGCCCTCCAGCTTAGCAACCAATCAGAATGAGGCGGGAATTATTACATCGGCCATCTTCGTAAGCAATGGCGGTCGGCTTTCTTCGTTCTGTGCTTCTTTCAGCTATTTCTTTTGTGTAGCTACGGAATTTGATGTTTCAGTGTGCTAAAATTCAAAAGTTAGTGTAATACTCTGAACGTTGGAGCAAAGTTTTTCCTGATTTTGCTTTGTTTTCTGGGTTTTATCTGCTGCTAATGAAGTCACTGTATTTATTCAGCTAAGCTGGCTAGTACTAACATAAGACCTTACGTTTTCAAACGACAATCGGTTATGTTTTATCTTGTTCTCTAGATATCCGAAGTCGAAGTTCGTTTTTATTTAGCTAAAATAATTGTTGCTGCCGCCTGTGACTCTAACTGTTCGCATGTTCGTTCCTAACTATCCTTTATGATGTTATCGGCAAAATGAAAGGAAACAATCTGCGTTTTTTAATTTTCTTCAGTATTATGGACAACACTTCCACCAACGAGTCAAACTAATACAGAGTGCCCAGCAGTAGGGTATATCGGTACTGATTTCGAAAGGACCCAGACTTCCGACAACTATAGATGAAGTCACAGATGCTACCAATCTATTGCAGAGGGTTTGTTATGAAAAAATATGCCATATAACAGTAATAGAGGGGTTGTACTCACTACTCAGTGCGTTAAAGCAAGCTTAACATTGAAAAGCCGGAAATCTGCTACCAGTGTCTAGTGTATGTTTGCTGTTTTGGCCATAAAAGGTAACCGAAGGGTCATGATCAGGGAGTAAAAAGGTAATTAACTGTTATTAAGCTCACTTTTTTATAGATCGTGTTTCACCACTCGCAAATATGCGTTTTCTTACGGTATGATGTCAACTGGTACCTAATATGTTCACCCTTACGATGAAAAGTACCTGCAAATTTTCACCTCCATATTCGAATTTATTTTGGACAACTGTCTTACAGTCTGAGTGCTTCGTACGCCCCGAGAAACATTCGTAGTTCCAGTATAACTTTCTCACGCAGTAAGTTCAAATTAGACACTAGTCTTTCTAAATAAGGCTGTTAATCTAATATCCATATTCTCTATTTCAGTTAATCGATGAAGACATGTACCACTTGCATCTGTTGTATACTGCCATTTTACTCCAATTCTAACTGTTATACCTTACTTTTGAATAATAAAATTGCTATATGCTGCAAATACAGACTTATTTGTTTTGATGGAGGTAGGGGGGCTCATGGGATTTTCACTAAAGAGCTAAGCGAGTGCGTAAACCAGTGTAAGGTACCATACGGGGTGCATTTGAGTTACTAGTGTTCCATAAGTGCGGGTAGGGGCATTGCTTGCTTGTCATATGGCATTTGAATTAGAAGCTATAAGATAAGACGCAGGTACGGTTAGGATGTGTAACGCGTGTCCATCCATCAGTTGGTGTGACAACCCATGGTGGTTAGAATAAGCTATGAGAGGACCCGAGTCTGTAGGTCTCCCAAGGAAATGACGAGGATATGCACCAAATCACTTAACCTCTACTCATTACAGTATAGACGTCTTAGAGGTGACCTAATGGCTTACAATAAACCTTAACACTTCTGGACATCCCCTAAAACACCTAATTAAGCTTAGTTCCAACACTAACCTAAGGGGTAACACCCAGAAACCACAGACACAACATAGCAGGACGGACTGTAGGCACAACTTCTCCTCCTTAAGAGTTGTCAAATGCTGGGATTTTCTGCCGGCCGAGCTAATCCAAGCGACTTCGCAGGAGTCCTTTAAGAGGCAACTGGGTTCATTCTTAAGGACTAAGTATAGTATCATACTATGATTTACCAATTTCTTTTTCCTCTTTTATTGTTAACATACCAAATTTTCTGCCTTGAGGTATTGGTGATCCCCTGCTACTATCCACGGAAGCCTGTTAAGCGAAAGCTTCTTCTATTCAGTCCACAACCATCTGAACACATGAACTAGGTGCTGAGAGGCTCGCTTATTACAAGTTTCTTGCAACGATTAAGTAGATAAAACAGAGTAGCATTAGATTCAGAAATTTATTCAAGAACTTTCATTAAGAATCGAATAGCAAACAAAGGTTTAAACCAAGTTCCAGTTTAAAAGTTGTATTGGTTATGTTAAGCTGCAGTTTTCGTTGTATTTTTCCAAACGAAAGAGTAAAAGAAGTCACAAAATACTGGAAGTGGTTGTGAGACTAAAATGGAAGTACAGCATCCTTTTTATCATCTGCTGTTCGTTGGATCTCCCGTAAACAGTTCCATAGGGCCATAGTTCTAAGGGCGAAACAGTTTTTATGATCTGTGAAGACTCACTCCTGTTGCATTCTAAATGAAAAAATGGTGATGAATTTAGTCAGAAATGTGGAATATATATATAACCAAATTACATATTTTTTAGCAAAGAATTTATGCAGTTGTGATTTAACTTGAGTTCATGAATATTAGATAAGGTCAGCTACTATTACTTGCGCAAAGCGTGACATGGGCTTAGTACCGTATTGCAATGCTTTTATTATTTTGCTCCCATTTAAGTATTCCCATGCATCTGCGTCTAGTTTAACAGGAAAACATACAAGCAGAGTAAGTGTCTGATAAACTAAAAGTCCCAGTTGTCAAAAAGATTCTTAACCTTTGTCCACAGCCAGCTGCATTTAATTGAGACACAGAACACTCATCTTCTAAGACTGTATACTGCTGTTTTGCGGGCAACTAAAAGCTCAGACACTTAGCTATCTTGCTACCGATGTTATTGATGGGGAAATTGTTTAATGACAGTGATCATGAAATATGGTCAGTGATAGATGTACAGTTTAGAAATAAACACCAAACATACTTATCGCTATCTTATAATGTATGATATCATACATGCTATATAGGAACAGCATCAAAGGCACGTTTTTTCCTATTTTTAATCAGGCTGATCTGAATCCGTATACACATTGGAAACAGGCAACTCTATAGAGTATACTTACTAAACTGATCTGTTTCGTTACAGGCTTCAAGCACTATACTTAATTATATCATAATTCCTTCAACTAAACTGAATTATACGACAAACAAGAAAATCAAACTAAGCAAGTGTCATAGTTATTGTTTCACTTGCAAAGACATGTTGCTCAAAGTAGGTAAATGGACATAATTAAGCCGATAAAATCAAAACACGAAATATAGGCCAGTTGAACTTACCTAAGAAAAAAAGAAGGATACATATATACTGCTTTAAAGCAGTATTCAGTATGAATTCATACTGAAGACAACAGGAAGTTGATCATAGAAACACAGTTTACAGTACAACAAACCTTTCTTCAGTAAAATCATGCACTGACAGTCTATCTGGAAACAATCAACTATGTGAATAAAATCACTATGACTTGAGATATCATTTCAGCGTGCAATGGACGTACAGTGTAACGCAGTCGGACGTGGCGAATAAAAATTAAAAACAGAGAAAAATTAACTACATAATCTAGTTATTTAATTAAAAATACATTATGAAATGACAAAATATGTGGTTACTTGAACGCACAAATGACAGTATGCGATACATTAAGTTTACATTGGTTGCGTTGCGGATAAGATCACCCGGAGGATAGGATTGGAAAATCTATGGTTCAAATTCTAGATATTAATGATTTCAGTACAAAACCGATATGCTGATTGTATACAATTCCAGGTGAGTCTGTTCCGATTTCGTTTGTTAATTCCAATACTAATGAGCACTTTCTAGATACTACAAAGTTTTTATCTTATACAATGTCGGACAGACTCAGGATGAACTTCACAAGAAGACGTACAACCGATTACAAACACTTATACTTCTATTTAAGCTGTGGCGGATGTGGTGTTTGAATGGACTAATGATATCTTTGTACTTGTTGAATGCTCGATTTCGAATTCTAAATACAATACATTCGTTTGTGCCTGTGTCTTCTTAGTTCAATTGCGTTAGTCCTGGAATTCCTAGTTCATACTATAATTAGAATATTATATTGGCGTCGCGATGGAACCTGCAATGGAAAAGTTGGATAATCCTTTAACTCCTGAAGCTATTGAGGATTATTTGGAAAGGTTCGAAATTTGGAGCATGACCAAGAAAGATTTTAAAGGTGAGAAAATTGTGGCACATTTTCTGACATTCATTGGGAGAGAAGTGTACAGCTTATTAAAAACTTTGGCATATCCAGAAAAACCTATCTCACTGCCTTATGCAACTCTTAAAGAGCTATTGTTAAGTCATGTAAAATGCACCAGTTTTGAATGCCGTGAAAGGGCGAAGTTTCATAAGATGGTTCGTCAAAATGACCAAAAGGTTCGGGAATTCATCCTTGAATTACAGAAACAAGCTGCCAAGTGTAATTTCGGTGATCAACTTCATGTGCAATTGAGAGATCGATTAATTGCAGGAATTAACATACCGAGTTTGGAAAGAGAGCTGTTAAGAATGCCAAACTGTTCCTTTCAAGATGCTAGAACTGCATGTATTAACTACGAAGCAGTCAATGAACTTGATATCCAGTCGATGAATATTTCTAATACTTTGCTTAGTCGTCGTGATGAACTACAATCTCGGGGTCAATCAAACTTGCGTTCATTTAACAGTGATTCCTATTCTCGTGTAAATATGAAAGGTGTTTCAACGAGGAATTACAAAGCAAATCACAAAGGTGAGATGAAGTTTGGTAAATGTTTATCATGTGGAAAGTTTCATGCTCGCAATCCATGTGTATTTCGTAATGCTGAATGTTTTAAATGTGGTAAGGTAGGACACATTCAGTCAGTATGCAATGTTACTGTCCATTTTGCTTCAAGCTGTACTAAATCTTGTGATTTAAATTTAAATAATTCGGATGTTTCTAATGATCATTTATCTTTATCAACGATTTCAAAAGACAGTGCAGAGTCATATGGCAGTTCAGAGTTAAATGAAATCCAGAATTCTTGTGAGACAACAGTTCCTAATAAACCGATTTATCAGAATTCTCATGCTATTGTACCAAGTAGGACTTTTCCTGATGATTCACATATTTATAATGAAATTACTTGCAATTCTGAGGAAAATATGTTAAATGAACCTAATCATGATCGAAAACCTGATGTGGTTTGGGTAGATGCTGATTTTTCTAACGATCCTACGCTCTGCAATGACAGTCCTGATGAATTTCATGAGAATATTTCAGAAGAATCAAATCCTGATGTCATATCATATATTACCTATCCTCATAATGTATTTGATCCTTGTGAAAAACCTGCCCAATGCGAAGCACGAGTACTAAGTGACCTCGAGTTTTATTACATTTCGAATGATTTCATATCAACTGCTGTTTACTCTTATCACAAAAACAGTTCTAATGTTTACTCTAAACAATGTGAGAAATATGTTTTAAATGAAGCCACATTATTCATAACTTGGGGATATAAAGATCCAACATTATTTCGTGGGGGAGGATAGGGCTGCATTTAAACGCAACTCAATTTCGTAAATGTGCCCTCCAGCTTAGCAACCAATCAGAATGAGGCGGGAATTATTACATCGGCCATCTTCGTAAGCAATGGCGGTCGGCTTTCTTCGTTCTGTGCTTCTTTCAGCTATTTCTTTTGTGTAGCTACGGAATTTGATGTTTCAGTGTGCTAAAATTCAAAAGTTAGTGTAATACTCTGAACGTTGGAGCAAAGTTTTTCCTGATTTTGCTTTGTTTTCTGGGTTTTATCTGCTGCTAATGAAGTCACTGTATTTATTCAGCTAAGCTGGCTAGTACTAACATAAGACCTTACGTTTTCAAACGACAATCGGTTATGTTTTATCTTGTTCTCTAGATATCCGAAGTCGAAGTTCGTTTTTATTTAGCTAAAATAATTGTTGCTGCCGCCTGTGACTCTAACTGTTCGCATGTTCGTTCCTAACTATCCTTTATGATGTTATCGGCAAAATGAAAGGAAACAATCTGCGTTTTTTAATTTTCTTCAGTATTATGGACAACACTTCCACCAACGAGTCAAACTAATACAGAGTGCCCAGCAGTAGGGTATATCGGTACTGATTTCGAAAGGACCCAGACTTCCGACAACTATAGATGAAGTCACAGATGCTACCAATCTATTGCAGAGGGTTTGTTATGAAAAAATATGCCATATAACAGTAATAGAGGGGTTGTACTCACTACTCAGTGCGTTAAAGCAAGCTTAACATTGAAAAGCCGGAAATCTGCTACCAGTGTCTAGTGTATGTTTGCTGTTTTGGCCATAAAAGGTAACCGAAGGGTCATGATCAGGGAGTAAAAAGGTAATTAACTGTTATTAAGCTCACTTTTTTATAGATCGTGTTTCACCACTCGCAAATATGCGTTTTCTTACGGTATGATGTCAACTGGTACCTAATATGTTCACCCTTACGATGAAAAGTACCTGCAAATTTTCACCTCCATATTCGAATTTATTTTGGACAACTGTCTTACAGTCTGAGTGCTTCGTACGCCCCGAGAAACATTCGTAGTTCCAGTATAACTTTCTCACGCAGTAAGTTCAAATTAGACACTAGTCTTTCTAAATAAGGCTGTTAATCTAATATCCATATTCTCTATTTCAGTTAATCGATGAAGACATGTACCACTTGCATCTGTTGTATACTGCCATTTTACTCCAATTCTAACTGTTATACCTTACTTTTGAATAATAAAATTGCTATATGCTGCAAATACAGACTTATTTGTTTTGATGGAGGTAGGGGGGCTCATGGGATTTTCACTAAAGAGCTAAGCGAGTGCGTAAACCAGTGTAAGGTACCATACGGGGTGCATTTGAGTTACTAGTGTTCCATAAGTGCGGGTAGGGGCATTGCTTGCTTGTCATATGGCATTTGAATTAGAAGCTATAAGATAAGACGCAGGTACGGTTAGGATGTGTAACGCGTGTCCATCCATCAGTTGGTGTGACAACCCATGGTGGTTAGAATAAGCTATGAGAGGACCCGAGTCTGTAGGTCTCCCAAGGAAATGACGAGGATATGCACCAAATCACTTAACCTCTACTCATTACAGTATAGACGTCTTAGAGGTGACCTAATGGCTTACAATAAACCTTAACACTTCTGGACATCCCCTAAAACACCTAATTAAGCTTAGTTCCAACACTAACCTAAGGGGTAACACCCAGAAACCACAGACACAACATAGCAGGACGGACTGTAGGCACAACTTCTCCTCCTTAAGAGTTGTCAAATGCTGGGATTTTCTGCCGGCCGAGCTAATCCAAGCGACTTCGCAGGAGTCCTTTAAGAGGCAACTGGGTTCATTCTTAAGGACTAAGTATAGTATCATACTATGATTTACCAATTTCTTTTTCCTCTTTTATTGTTAACATACCAAATTTTCTGCCTTGAGGTATTGGTGATCCCCTGCTACTATCCACGGAAGCCTGTTAAGCGAAAGCTTCTTCTATTCAGTCCACAACCATCTGAACACATGAACTAGGTGCTGAGAGGCTCGCTTATTACAAGTTTCTTGCAACGATTAAGTAGATAAAACAGAGTAGCATTAGATTCAGAAATTTATTCAAGAACTTTCATTAAGAATCGAATAGCAAACAAAGGTTTAAACCAAGTTCCAGTTTAAAAGTTGTATTGGTTATGTTAAGCTGCAGTTTTCGTTGTATTTTTCCAAACGAAAGAGTAAAAGAAGTCACAAAATACTGGAAGTGGTTGTGAGACTAAAATGGAAGTACAGCATCCTTTTTATCATCTGCTGTTCGTTGGATCTCCCGTAAACAGTTCCATAGGGCCATAGTTCTAAGGGCGAAACAGTTTTTATGATCTGTGAAGACTCACTCCTGTTGCATTCTAAATGAAAAAATGGTGATGAATTTAGTCAGAAATGTGGAATATATATATAACCAAATTACATATTTTTTAGCAAAGAATTTATGCAGTTGTGATTTAACTTGAGTTCATGAATATTAGATAAGGTCAGCTACTATTACTTGCGCAAAGCGTGACATGGGCTTAGTACCGTATTGCAATGCTTTTATTATTTTGCTCCCATTTAAGTATTCCCATGCATCTGCGTCTAGTTTAACAGGAAAACATACAAGCAGAGTAAGTGTCTGATAAACTAAAAGTCCCAGTTGTCAAAAAGATTCTTAACCTTTGTCCACAGCCAGCTGCATTTAATTGAGACACAGAACACTCATCTTCTAAGACTGTATACTGCTGTTTTGCGGGCAACTAAAAGCTCAGACACTTAGCTATCTTGCTACCGATGTTATTGATGGGGAAATTGTTTAATGACAGTGATCATGAAATATGGTCAGTGATAGATGTACAGTTTAGAAATAAACACCAAACATACTTATCGCTATCTTATAATGTATGATATCATACATGCTATATAGGAACAGCATCAAAGGCACGTTTTTTCCTATTTTTAATCAGGCTGATCTGAATCCGTATACACATTGGAAACAGGCAACTCTATAGAGTATACTTACTAAACTGATCTGTTTCGTTACAGGCTTCAAGCACTATACTTAATTATATCATAATTCCTTCAACTAAACTGAATTATACGACAAACAAGAAAATCAAACTAAGCAAGTGTCATAGTTATTGTTTCACTTGCAAAGACATGTTGCTCAAAGTAGGTAAATGGACATAATTAAGCCGATAAAATCAAAACACGAAATATAGGCCAGTTGAACTTACCTAAGAAAAAAAGAAGGATACATATATACTGCTTTAAAGCAGTATTCAGTATGAATTCATACTGAAGACAACAGGAAGTTGATCATAGAAACAGTTTACAGTACAACAAACCTTTCTTCAGTAAAATCATGCACTGACAGTCTATCTGGAAACAATCAACTATGTGAATAAAATCACTATGACTTGAGATATCATTTCAGCGTGCAATGGACGTACAGTGTAACGCAGTCGGACGTGGCGAATAAAAATTAAAAACAGAGAAAAATTAACTACATAATCTAGTTATTTAATTAAAAATACATTATGAAATGACAAAATATGTGGTTACTTGAACGCACAAATGACAGTATGCGATACATTAAGTTTACATTGGTTGCGTTGCGGATAAGATCACCCGGAGGATAGGATTGGAAAATCTATGGTTCAAATTCTAGATATTAATGATTTCAGTACAAAACCGATATGCTGATTGTATACAATTCCAGGTGAGTCTGTTCCGATTTCGTTTGTTAATTCCAATACTAATGAGCACTTTCTAGATACTACAAAGTTTTTATCTTATACAATGTCGGACAGACTCAGGATGAACTTCACAAGAAGACGTACAACCGATTACAAACACTTATACTTCTATTTAAGCTGTGGCGGATGTGGTGTTTGAATGGACTAATGATATCTTTGTACTTGTTGAATGCTCGATTTCGAATTCTAAATACAATACATTCGTTTGTGCCTGTGTCTTCTTAGTTCAATTGCGTTAGTCCTGGAATTCCTAGTTCATACTATAATTAGAATATTATAAGGTGACCGCTGCTGATGTAAAAAATATGAAAGCTGAACTCTCCACTGGTAAGTGTATATAAATATATTTCAGGTTGGACTCGGAAGCAGGTATTGCACATGATGCGACAAAACGGTGAAGTTAGAGAGCATGCAGAAAATGGATGTATTACGGCGATATGCTTCAGCAGTTACTATCAGATACGGCTGTACAGTCAATATCCCGAAGTCGTGTGTATTGATTCTACTTATAAAACTAATAATAAAAAGTGAATATGATTTTCGTTATACGATTAACTTATGCGCGTTGGTTGTCTCTGACCTTGACGAGGATCGATGAATTGCTCGATATTCAATGACCCGACTGCCGGATGATTTGGCTAGGGCTTAGTGACATTTCGCTGGCCCTACACTACTATAATATCAGGCTGCGATACGCAGTTGTTCGTCTTGAGTTTGTAGTGGCAATGTTCCTTAACAATATGGTCTTTGAAGCTCAACATATCACTCAGAAGATTGAAGTTCAACATGTAACACTAAGAGAACGTCGACAATGGTGAACGAGGAAACATGCATTCAATAAAATTTCGCGGCTCGGTCTTGCAGGTGTGGTCATTCTTGTGTAACAAATCTCTTTAATTCACATTAAATAGATTACTGTTCTATCTCCATCTTAAATTTGTTATTTAGAAACGCTAAACACTATATTGTTCATTTTCACAGTACGAGGATTCAGAATAGACAATGTTGTGAGTTCCACGGAAGACCTTACAAATTAGGTTTTCATATCATGACAAATCTACGATTTTAGAATGTCTGTAATTACAGCATCATAATTCCTATCCCATAATTCTACAACTTTGTCAAGACAAGACACAAAAACAAGTGGTTTTTCTAGGGAGATGAAACTGTGACAAGACTTTTTCAGAAGAAACTTAGATCATAACATCCAAACCCAATGGTTGTTGGTATTGATCTTACTTGTGACAACAAAACAAGGAGTTAGGAAGCAGTATGAAAACCTTGGCTGTCTAAATATTCGTTGTCTTAGTTGGTGATAGTTAAAAATTCAAGTCCCTGTCGTCTGAATGTATTCTAACGGACACCCGAAATCTTGATGGCATATGTTACGTGGATATTAAGCCGATTGATTGAAATTATGGGTGACACTTCAACAACAAAAACTTTCATCATAGACTACCCACAGCCGCATTAATCCATGAGGATGGTCGTGGTCTGCTCACGTTAGACGCTGGTGGTGTGATCTCCCAGCATGTGTCGAAGTTAAACAACGCGGTTAATAACTACTGTTAACTAACCTCCTACCCTACCCAGGTGCTATGGCTAACTCGACAACATAACAGAGCAAACATGACATTATTACTGAAAGGTACGCGTGAGAAACGTTAGGAGAAACCGAGAGCGATAACTATTAATACATTTACTAGTCCATGACCCACAACTTACTGATTAATGCAACAAAGTTTCTTCACTACTGTTCACATGAAACACATTGTTTGTCGATTTTTAACATGAGGTAATAAAAAGAACTAACCACGAACGTGGTGGAACTAAGAAAATGTTTATTTATTTGTTTAAGTTAACCATTGTTATTTATTTATGAGAAGCCACTTTACGAACTATGTGTTCCAAAGTGCATCTGAGGATTTCACTTCCTTATGTTGTTTTCTTGTTGATTATATGTCCTTTATCAAATGGTCAGTATATGTTAATTAGTATGATGCAATTATTCTGAAGGTTTCATTCCTCAGATCACGGATAGAATCGAAACGGCAGTTGTACAAGAAAAAGGTACTGCTTATCTTAACTGTACAGCAGTCATAGAAGAACAACAGGAGTCTGTAAGTAAACACTCGCCTTTATAATATTTTGTCAAACGTATCATCATTCAGTTGCGGTTCGACTGGAGAGGTATATTTATTAAATTCTATGACACAATTTGTAAATTTTACGTGTCTACATATATGGACACGTACTAAATAAAAAGTACTACTATACGTTTTTGATAGCTGACAGCTTTTATATCGTTACTGATCAGCTCATTTGGACTCTGATTGCACCATAATATCTCTAAAATTGTTTCATTTACTTTTCTGGTAAGATGTTCAAGTCTTTTTACCGATAGATTTTTATGCGAAACTTCACGGACTAATATTAATGGAACTTCTTTATATTATCATTGATATTGCTGACACT